ACCCCTGTCCCCCCGGCTCTCTCCACCCTGTGCCTTGTTTTTATCAGTTCTAGTCGGTATTTGCGCCTGTTTGTTGAGACTTCTGTGTGTGCCTTGTTGTTTGCCGCCCCTCTCTGGCCAGGGCACCCGGGCTCTTGTCCCTGCCGCTGGGCTGTGGCTGGGCATGCTGTCGACACCCAGTGAGGGCTGCTTGGGGGTGAAGGTGGGCAGACGGGGAGCTGGGGACACAGTCCTGGCAGAGGCACCTCCTAGCAAGGCATCTGCTCTTGACCAGCTCCGAGGACCGAGCGCTGAGGCTGAGGCACCCAGACGGGAGCCCAGGGTCAGTTCTGGTGGTGATACGAGGGTCGGATCTTGGACTCCTGGGCTTGCAGCATTGGGAGAGTTTCTAGAGATCCCAGCGACCAGACTCCCTGGACTTGGCCAGGTCCACCCTGCGGCTTGAAGACGGGCAGAAGTAAAAGGCAGGACTCCCGACACCAGGAGCCGCGCTCTTTCACCTGCAGCGTCCCGATGCTCAGAACCGGGCTCTGGTCTGACCAGCGGCCAGCCTAGTGTCACCCACACATGCTGACCAGACCTGCCTGGCCACAGGGGCGTGTTGCTGAAGGGCACCTGGGCTGGGCAAGCACCCTCTGGACCTCCCTACACAGTCCACCTCTCTTTTCTTCCTTTCAGAGCACATTTTGGGGGCTAGGAAACAAAAGTAGCTAGAGTTGCTAGAACCCAGCTTGGTGTTTGCCCAGAAAATGTCCCCATGTCTAGTCCAGAGTCTTCTAGAGCCTTTTCATAAAACATCGGGTTGACAATACTCCCGAGGGTTCTACGGAGCCTTCACTAGAGCATTCCATGGACTATTTCATTGCTATTCCAGATGATTACACTGAGTGCTCCAGGGACTATTCAACTGTGTGTCCCATACACTATTCAATTGTTACACTGAACATTCCTTTGGTTGTTTCACATAGTTTCCCACCACTTCTCACTAGGTCTCTGGAAATTGCACATCTTTCTTCAGCAGGATTTTTTTTTTTTTTGATTCTCAGATGGGGTTCCCGAGATTGGAAAGTTTTAATAAACTTTTATATGGGTTTGAGAGGCCTTCCTAGCTCTGCAGGATCCTTCGGTACCCAGCTTGGCCTCCCCGGGATGGTTCCCAGTGCAGTTCCAAACAAGGCCATAAAAAGCAGAACTTGATTTCCCAGCTGAAACACTTCTTTCCCCGGGTCCTAAGGAGGGAGTTGGAGTGGGGTAAGTTATGTGTTGTGGTTTTAGGCATTAATGAATATGAGAAACTAAATTATTGAATTTTGCAATGCAAATTATATTTCGAACACAAATTCTTCATTTCTGAATGCTAAGGACTCATAAAGAATGTCAGTGGTTTATGAATTAGGCCATTAGCATGCAGTTTGTGATGCACACCGCACACCAGCGCCGGGTGATAAGTAACGATGGAAAGAGCAGTGTGGTCGTCTACGTTTTCAAAATATTTTGCTTGCTGCATTAGAAAGTTCTCAGAAGACGCTGATGGGCGCCTTTCCTCCCCTCCCCTCCCCCCCTCCGCCCCTCCCTCTCCTTCCCCTTCCGCTGGAGAACCAGCTGTTATTCCAACCTCCCCCCTTGTTGCTGGAAGGGCCCTAAGAACTGATCTAGATGGACCCCACTAATGTAGATGGAGGGAGAGAGATGAGGGCCACCCAGGCGGACGCCACTGGTCCCAGGTCCACAGTGTCGAATCCTGCCTGGTGCAGCTCAGTGTGGCCGACTCGGGGACACTTCCACTTGTCAGCCGCTCTTTACTTCTTCCAGTGACAGGAGCCAGTCCCACTGATGAGCTAGCTTCAAGCGACCATACTCGGACTCAAGGCTGACAGTCCACGGTGGCACTTGGGGGTCCTGATCAGAGTCATTTTGCCATAGCAGCCCTCAGGGATACCCAGGAAATGCCAGCCTTGAGTAGGAAGGGAGCAGGCAGGCGAGAGCGGCCTTCTCCCAAGTCCAGATGGATGGAGAATTTGTGGTCCCGGGGGCTTCTCACCATGGCCAGCTGCAGTCACTGCCAGGCAGCAAGCTCAGTGGGCTCTGCTCAGCTCTCGTGAGCCAGGGGGACCCGGGGTGTGTCCAGGATGCCTGCAGCAGCCGTCTCCGCCCCGACGATGAACCAGAGGCAGAAGGTCCCCGGGTTCCAGATGACCAGAGGCAGAAGAAGCCACACTTCCCTTAGAGCATGGTCCACCATGAAGGGTCTCCTGTGCACGGGACGGGGACGTGCTCAGTGGGAGGTGGCCGTGGGCGAGGAGCTCTCCTATGGGGAAGGGATACTTAGAAGCCAACTTGGCTCCCTGTGCTCTGGGCAGAAGTGGGCTCATGCATATTTAAATGATCTGGTAAACCACGGTGAAGCCTGGCGCTGCACATTTACCACGTGGCCGTAACTAAAGTGGCAGGTTACCCTCATTAGCAGAGCCAGGAGCCAGCCAGTCCTTGCTCTGCTCTGTCGGAGGCGCCCTGTGTTCCTCCTGATGAAGGCGCCCCTCCCCCAGGCCTGCTGCCACAGCTGCTCCACGTGGTGCCCGAGGTGCCGGGTGGGTGACGGGGGCTTGGGAGCAAATGATCCTGGGGCTGTCTTCCTGCAACTTTCTTTTTTTTTTGGGGGGGGCAGGTTACCAGGGATTGACCTCAGGGGCACTCGACCACTGGGCCCCATCTCAGCCCTATTTTGGATTTTATTTAGAGACAGGGTCTCGCTGAGGTGCTTTGCACCTGGCTTTTGCTGAGGCTGGCTTTGAACTCACGACCCTC